TTCTTCACTCCTTTTTTTTCTTTTTTTTCCCTCTGATTGGGTAATTTCCAATGTCTTATCCTTCAAATTTCTGGTTGTTTCTTCTATCTGGTTGTCTACTTTGAAACTATTGAATTCTTTAGTTCAATTATTGTACATTTCAACTCTAGGAGTTTTGTTATTTGTTTGGTTTGTTTTGATGATTGGTAGTTTCTTGTCAAGCTTCTTGTTTTGTTCATTAAGAAAATATGGGACATTTCCTGGATGTGCATGTTATCCTGTTTAGGAGCCATGCTAGTCTTCTCTTGATTGTTCCAATTTTAGTAAATATGCTGCTAAAGCATGCACCAAATGATAAAAATACAACATAGTGAGCTTAAGTTAAGCATATATATATATATATGCTTTCTATCACTATATATAACTCTCCATTGTTGGGGCATTTAAGTGGCTCAGTAGGTTAAGTGTCCGATTCCTGGTTTCAGCTCAGGTCATGATCTCATGGGTCATGACATTGAGTCCTGCATAGGGCTGCACACTCAGCAGGGAGTCTGCTTTAAGAATCTCTTCCTCTGCCCCTACTCCCACTCATGAGCACACTTGCACTCTCTCTCGCTCTCAAACAAATAAATAAATCTTTCAATAAAAAATAACTCTCCAGGAGTGCCTGGGTGGCTCAGATGATTAAGCATCTGCCTTCGGGTCTGGGATAGCATCTGATCTCCAGGTCCTGGGATAGAGCCCTGAGTAGGGCTCCCAGCTCAGCAGGGAGTCTGCTTCTCCTCTCCCTCTGCCTCTCCCCCAGACTGTGCTCTCTCTGTCTCTCTCTCTCTCTCAAATGAATAAATAAAATCTTTAAAAAGAAAAACCTCTCCATTTTTGAATAAGTTTTTTTTTTTTAAATTAAGGATCGCAGCTATGTAGTCTGTTCGGCCAGAATGATTTAAATATTATGTTGTTAAATGTGAGGCTAATCCATTTTGATTTATAAATTCATGAGGATATATTTTTTTCTGATAAAAATAGCTATTTATGTTTCATGGGTTTTTCTTTGTAAAAGGATTATTAAATACCAGGAAAAATATATAATTTTACTTGATAGATATAGAATACTAAAGACAAAGGGCACTTGAAAATCCTTAAGACCAGCTTCCTCATTAAAATAAAAAAAAGCACATGGGTCGCCTGGGTGGCATAGTGGATTAAGCTCTAACACTTGGCTTCAACTCAGGTAATGAGAGAGAACCCTGGGTTGGGCTCCACACTGAACACAGAGCCTGCTTAAGACTCTCTGTCCCTCACCACTGCTGCCCACTCTCTCTCTCTCTCAAATAAATAAATAAATCTTTTAAAAAAATAAAAAATACATAAATATTAACATATATGTACATATACATACATGCAATATTTTATCTGCTACTGTATGCTAGGAATGGGGCCATTCACTATAGCCTATTATAAGTAACAAGTGAGAGATAATTTACTAGGGTTTGTTAAAAGTTAAGGACTTAGGCAAAGATCACCTTCACAGAATACTGTATTTTGAAATTAACTTATTTATTATTTATTTATTTATTGAAATTAACTTTATACTACCTTGATAGATTTCTCTGAGAGAGGAAAAGAAAAATAAATAAGGAAGAATCAAGGTGACATATGAGAGAGGAGAGAAGTCAGATATTTTAAATACTTTCAGATTATATATAAAGTGATACTGATTCACAAAGATATCCATATTTATATTTTACTAACTAGGACATCTTGGACTAGTACATTTCTGGACATTCTCTTCTTGAAATTGTTTCTTTCTCTTTAGGAAAAAAAAAAAAAAACTTCTAAAAGTTGGTTATATTACCTATGTCCAAGCCTTCCCTGGTCTTTCTTGAGCCCAGTCTAATTAAGCTCCTGCCCTTCCCCCACACCACTCCAAACTAACTCTAAGCAGGTCCATAGTCTATGGCCAGGTAGTCAGATTTGCTGGTCCATACTCAGTTGTACACCTTGACCTGTCCATAACACTTGACACAGCTGATCACATCTTCCTCTCTGAACACTGCCTTCACTGCCGACTTGGACACCATTTGATGGTTCTCCTCCTGGTTACTCTTGCCTCCTCAGTGCCTTTACTGATGCCACTTAGTGTCCCTCACCCTTGAATATTGGACATCTCAAGGTCTGCTCTTTTTCCCATTGATATTCACTCTATCTTGTAGCTTGAAATCCTATAGTCTATAGGTTGACCTCTTCCAAAAATTTCTTTAGTCAGATTTCTCCTCTGAACTCCACATGCATACATCTAATTGTCTACTTAACATCTCCATTTACATGTTCAGTAGGCATTTCAAACATAACGTCCAAAACAGACCTATATCTTCTCTCCAAAACCGGTTCCTAACATCTTCTTGGTAATTTGTCTTTCAGCTCCTTAAGCTAAAACACTTTATAGTTATTTCTAACTCTACTCTATCTCTCATACTCAACATCTATCTCTACTCATATATATATGTGTGTGTGTGTATATATATATATATTCTCTATATATACTCTACTCATCATAGGCAGTATCCAACCTTCCACCACCTCTACTATTAATCACAATAGAGGTCTCAGCAACCTGAATTATTGCAATTCTCTCCTAACTGATTTTCTTACTTTTGTTTTTGCCCTTGTTCAGTGTATTATCAACACAGAAACTGGAGTGATTCTTTTTATTTTTATTTTTTTAAAGATTTTTATTTATTTATCTGTCAGAGAGAGAGAGAGAGGCAGGCAGAGGGAGAAGCAGACTCCCCGCTGAGCAGAGAGCCCGATGCGGGGCTGGATCCCAGGACCCTGAGATCATGACCTGAGCCGAAAGCAGATGCTTAACTGACTGAGCCACCCAGGTGCCCCTGGAGTGATTCTTTTTTAAAGTTACTGTACATCACTCCTCCATTCAAAACCTTCCAGTGACTTGTCATCTGTCTCAGTAAAAAATCAAAAGTCCTAATGATGTTCTTCAAGGCTCTGTGTAAACCTCCCCCATCACTCCTTGATCTCATGCCCTGCTGCTCCCACTCCACACTGCCCCAGCTCATCAGTGTCCTCGTAGTTTCTCAAACACGTCAAGCACACTCTCTGTCTCAGTCCTTTGCCTTCTTTGTCGGAAATGATCTCCTTTCAGATATGTGCAGGCTTACTCGCCATGTGCTATAGATCTGTGTTCAGCCTTGTCTGGGAGCAAACACCTTCCTTTCTTCTATACCCATTACCCCAGATTGGTGTTTCTCCACGTTACTGCCACCATGGGACATGCAAACAGTCATTGATTTGTTTGTTGCTTCTGACACTGCACTAGAAGACAAGTAAGGGCAGGGGCTGTGTCTGTTTCATTCACTATTTTATAGCCAATCCTAGAACTTTGTTTGGGACGTAGCAGATGCTCAAAAGTATTTGTGGAATGAAATCAGAATGGAATACTTACCTTCAGAGTTGTGAGGGAAAAAATAATGCTAAAGAACTAAAGTGACTGACGTACTTAACATAATGTCTTCCAGGTTCATCCATGTTGCTGCAAATGGAAGGATTTCCTTCTATTTTAAGGCTGAATAATATTTTGTTGTATGGATAGACTGTGTCATCTTTAGTAAATGAGTCATTCATCTGCCCATGCACCTTTGGTTTGTTTCCATATTTTGGCTATTGTGAATAATGCATGATTCCTCCTAAATGAGGCATCTAAAATATTCAAAGGTATGGAAGTAGACAATTTGATGATGATTATCATGGGCTGGGGAGAGGACAACATGGACAATTCTTGTTCAATGGGTATAAAATTATGGATATACAAGATGAGTATGTTTCAGAGATTTGCTGTACACCATAGTTCCTGTAGTTAACAATAAAATATTGGGCACTTAAAAATTTATTAAGAGGATAGATCTCGTGTTAAGTGTTTTTCCTGCAAAGAAGGGGGGGTGGGCACAAGGATACTTTTGGAAGTGATGGAAATGCTTATTACCTTGATTGTGGTGATAGTAACATGAGAGTATGCCCATGACCAAACTCATTAAATTGTATGCATTAATTATGTGCAGATTTTGTGTGCCAATTATATCTCAATAAAGCTGAAGAAAAAAGAAAAATAAATAATACTAAAGAACTTAGGACAGTACCTGACAAATACTAGTTGATCAATAAGGGCTAAGTATGGATGTTAAGGTCAATCAGAGCCCTTAGGATTGAAATGCTTCATAATAATATAACTCTAAAGGAATTTCTATAGGGAATAAAAAACGTCTGGTTGATTTTCTTAAAAGGATGTGGGGCAAAGTAAAATAAATATGCATGCACAAATACAGAAGTAGATGATTAGGAACAAATTTCAACTTTAAAACATGATGTTAAGCTGTGTCTAAAAATAAGACCTTTTGTTTTTAAGGAGATTCAGTGTATAGCACCAATGTGAGGCAAAATCTCCAGGTATTTATAACAAAAACTGCTAGTACCTAATTTAATTAGCTCCCTTTGCTGTGCTGTCCAATGAGAGAGTTGCTTTGTATGTGAGTTAAATCAGGAGATGTTGGTTAAAATTCAGAGTTTAATAACTCTGAAACATTGGGGGATGGCATTTTTCTCAAGACTAAGCCATCATTGTGCTGCCTGCAATTCAGCTTAATTTCCAAGTGGGAGACCTCTGTCTGCAGTAAACAAGTTTACAAACAACTCAAACCAGGGAAAAGTCCACTTAGAAGAAAGCACTGTGCTATACGCAACAGGGATCACTACAGTACAGCACTATTTTGTTTCATATATGTATATAAGAAAGATTTAGAGGTGGTTTCTCAGTCTAGGAACAAGGTATATAGAACAGAAGAGTTACCATCTGAGCGTGATGTGATTGTGGCTGATTTAAAGGAAATCATTTTCTAATGGTTTGATTAGGGAAAATTGTCCATTGGATTCTCAAGGTAGCTTGACACAACTTGAGTTTTCCATCATGTTCTATAGGTATCTTCTTTCCTTTTCCTTTTGTAATAAAGAGAGGGCCAGAGACTCTTATTTTCAGAATGTTATATAGCCTTTTTTTCTTTATTTTTAAAATTTTTATTATTATGTTCAATTAGCCAACATATAGTACATCATTAGTTTTTGATGTAGTGTTCAACAATTCATTAGTTGTGTATTACACCCAGTGTTCATCACAGCTCATGCCCTCCTTAATATCCATCACCTGGTTACACCATCCCTCCACCCCACTCCCTTCTGTAACCCTGTTTGTTTCCCAGAGTCCAGAGTCTCTCATGGTTTGTCTCCCTCTCTGATTTCTTCCCATTCAGTTCTCCCTCCCTTCCCCTGTGGTCCT